TCAAAGAAATGAAAGGGATACTTCTTCCTTTTGCATAGGAAGGATATTCCATCAAACAATTAAGAAAAAAAAAAAAAAGACACAGAGCCTGGGATATTGCTCAGCAGCACAAGCGTCTGCCTGTCCAGCGCAAGATCCTGAGTTTGATTCCCAGTACCAAAAAACAAAAAAAGAAACAAAAAGACCCATTCACTGTTCAGCCACAAGGCACAATATGCTACCTGTGAATATCAATGTTGTAGGCAACTAAGTTACATAGAAATATTATAGGCAGCCAGATAGGGCTGGGCCCTCAAAGGAGCCAGTGGGGAAGAGGAGATACCCATAACTGTGGGAGAGAAAGACACCGCCAGCTGTGGGCTATACCTGAAGACAAAAGCTAAAATAAATGCACCCACATTCCTCCCTAAGGATAAACATCAGGGATTGGTATTCTAAGTAGGTCTCTATCAGTTTGGAAAGCCAGAAAGAGTCACTAACTCGACCTCCTACAGGAAAAGCCACTGTGGTGTATTCCAGCCATGTGCCATGTGACTGCCTTCCCCATTTGATCCCCATTTAATCAGTTTGATCTGAGCAATCACACATGTAATCTTATTCATTGACCAGAGTTTTGTCCTACCTCATGCCCACTTGTGATTTCCTATGTTTCCCAACTTGGACCCACCTCACAGCATGGATTTACTGGATAAAAATCCCTAGAGAAGGCAGGTTCTTTGGCAAACCACTGGGGTCCCCTTTTGTCTCTCAGACAAAGCTTTCTTTCCCTCAACAAATACATTCTGCTCTTAACCTCCACTGTTCCTATAATTCACTGTTCAGTTTTAGAGAACATGAACTCGTCCCAGAAAACTAGCAGGTGGGGAGATTCTTTCCCATGTATCATAGAGACTTTTAATGACTTGTGGTAGCAGCAATAAGAAACTAACAGGAGAAAAGAAAAGAATCTCTAAGCTCCCACCTCAGTGATGGAGAAAAAGGAGCACAAAGTAAGCCTGGAAAAACCAGAAGGAGGGAAATAAAGACAGGAGCAAAAATCAGTGATACTGAAAACAGAACAACTAACAGAAAAATCTATCAAACAAAGAACTACTTCACTGAAAAGGGTGATACAATTGGTAAGCCTCTAGCAAGACTGCAAGGAAAAAGAAGAGGCCACATATACACCAAACTCAGGAATGAAACAGGGATCATCAATTCAGACCAAGCAGACATCACAAGGACCACACAAGAATTGCTGCCAGTGATGCAGGCACACGGAAATAGGACATTTACCTAAAAGGAACCACGTCCTCACAAAGTAATCATTGAGAAATCAGAATTTGTAACTTTAAAACTTCCAAAAGAGGGATGAGTAGGGGCAGGAGGAGACCAGCGGACCTCTACTGCAACAGCTGTCTCTCTTCCGTGGCTCCCAGGTCTGGTTCCTAGCCTGAAGAGAGAGGGTGAGGGGTGGGGAGGGTCACCAGGCCACAATCCGCTACTCCCTGCCACAGCTCCCTTGCTCCGCCCTGCCTGGGAAGAGGAAACTGGGGCCTCTCCCTGACCCATCCCCCTGTGCTAGTGCCCCTCCCTCAGCCAAGGTACCTATTGCTACCCCCAGGACCTTAGGGTCCTCAACCAAGAGAAGAGGCAGGAGACAGTGAGCACAGCCCTCTTCCAGCCAAGCTGCAGTCGACATCAGAAGCTTGTAATATGGATTGCCCGGTGGAAAGTAGAAAACCAGTGGCAAGGTTTTGCTGAGCCTCCGGAACATTGCTGACATGGAACCAATAACATTCCTTGCAAAGAAGCAAGTGTTTCCCTAGGCCCCTTGCTAGTGCATTGTGGGACCACGGGGCCCCTGCTGTTTGGGGTTGTCCTGGAGGTGTGAAGGCTCAGCGGGGAGTCCTCTGACTGGGAGCTTGCCCTCTCTGGATTGAGATGCAAACATGACCCAGGGAGGATTTCCAACATCTTTGAGTGTAAGCGGTAGCTTGTTCGCAAAGGAATTCACAGCAGTTATGACCCAAGCTACTGTGTATGTCTGATTAAGGAGGATGCTGTCCCCAGCAGAGTGTCTGCTTTGTGTCCAAAGGCTAGGATAAAACAAAAATGCCAGAAATCACCAGCTTCACTCACCAGAGCTGGAAGATCGCTCTCCGGGAAGAGGGAATTGCGCTGTGCATCCCAGGTCCACCACACCTTCGCCAAGAACTTCCAGGTGGTTTTCTGCAGCCACCAAGTTATGGTACTAGAGCGAAAAGAAGACCCGGCCAGCCCTGATCAACATCAACCTGTTCAGATCCGTTCAAGGAATCTAATCCAAGGATGTTGCCATGAGAACCCCACGGAGATTGTCCTTTCACCCGGGGTGTGACCTATGTGGAGGCACCAGCCTGTGGGCCTGGGCACAAGTCCTTGTCCTTGCACCCTGGCTTGAGCTACCTAGCCTGCAGGAGGGAGGTCCAGGGCAGTGGCCTGTATGTGCAGCTGCAGATTTGCGGCTCCTTCATGAAAAACGACCTCAACACCTGGAGAAACACTTGATCCGTGGACACCATATTCTGCAGCCAAAGGATACAGAGGAAAATCAAACTGTTCTCCTCACAACCAGCCTGGCATCTGAACTTTACCTCATTGGTTCAAAAACCAAAAAAAAAAAAACCAGCATTGGCACCTTCAGGCCTTGCAGCTTTTAGTTGTCTGTTCTGTGTTGCAGTGTGCACACTGAGCAATCCTTGATGAAACTATGATGACCCTGGAGCAGACTTCCATGGTGGCCCCAGTAAGGCAGGCAGCTGAGTCGCCATCAGCTGGGTGAGGCCTCCCCCTTGCAGGGCCTGCACAAGCTCTGCAGAGGACATGGGAATGAATTCTGCCAAAATCACAGTAGAGCTCCAAGAGCACCTGAGGGACGCTGACTGATCCGGAGGAGACAACTGGTTTGGAGGAGGTGCAGAAATTGAAATGAAGAAATGAGCTGCAAAAGAATGAATTATTTCTTTTCTGGGATGTTAATTTGAAGAGAAAAAGAAGACAGTACTTCCCGACGGGAGAGATGAGCAGACACCGCAGACTGCAGCAGAGTGACCATCCATCACCAGCCAGTGCCTTTCAATTTAAACTAGATAAGCTGAAAAACAGAGCAAAGAGGTCTTTAACAGAGTCCTTAGAAAGTAATTTGTCCCAAGGCAATGAAGCCAGAGGCCTGCAGGAACACTCTGCGAGTGTGGATCTGGACAGATCTGTGTCTCGTACAGTAAGTGACAACAGCAAAGAACCATCCATGGGTACCAAGGAGCCCTTACCTATCTCTCAGAGCACCTTCAAGGCTTCTCCCATGACCTAACTCACAGAGCAGCCTGCTACTCTCACACCCCAGCAGGCCTTCAGCAGGCAAGCCAGCATCCTGAGGCAGTTTCCTGTGCAATGCCAGGCCCTCCCTGCTCAGGGTTCTCTAGGAATCTCCTCAAGAAAACTTAGGAAGTATTGCTCAGGAAGCACGAAGATACTTTCCAAAAAGGAAGGAAGAAGGGGCTGGGGATTTAGCTCAGCGGCAAAGCGCCTGCCTGGCAAGCGCAAGGTCATGAGTTCAGTTCCTGGTACCGGAGAAAAACCAAAAAAAAAAAAACAAAAAAGGAAGGAAGAGAATGTGGACCACCCATCTGTGAGGAATCTAAGTGCTGTCTGCCCCTCCTCCTGTCCTAACAGCTCCACTTCCTTGCCAAACTTTTTTAAGCACCTAAAACATAATTCCAGTGGAGGACAAACCCAGAATGCTATGCCAAACAGCATCTCATAGAGTAAATCCCTGTGGAAAAAAATTCATTTTTTCTCCTCTGTGCCAAATTTTCTTAAAGTCCTACCTATTGTGGATGGGAGTAAGACCTCTGATATTATGAACCCCCAAAGGGACTTTGAATCCAAAGCAGGATCCCTGTGATGACTGGCAGCACTCAAGGACTGCAGCAAATATTCCTTAGTGTGGCCTGCCTTGCAGAAGCCCTGAAGATTATTCAGGAGGAGGAGATCTTCCCTTATCTCTTTTGGAGCCAGTGTGTGAAGATGGATCCTTTCGCCCTGTAGCAGAGATAAAGAAAAGGACATCGAGGTAAATTCAAGAGCTGCAGAAAAATGCTGTTCTTCGACAGATACTGCTGCTTAGGATGGGGAAGGAAATCAGAAGCCACAAACCTCTGAGAATGATTGGCTGACCAACTGCATGAAGAAATGGTTTGCAATTAACCTCCTTGACAAGGAATCCTTCCTTGTCTTAAAGAAGTAACTATAGTGTGGGTAAAATGCTGAGCACTCCAGGAAGATCAAAAATGAAGTCAGATATGGAAGAAATGCACTGGGATGTTGTGCAAGGTGTACATGTCATCACAGGTTGACATCTGGAAATTCATGAATGAGCAGTTTCACCTTAAACACCCATTTCCCAGCAGCTAAACAGTGTCTTACAAAGACTCTTAAACACCTCACTTCCCTGCATCGTGGATGCTTGTTGACCTTAGGTGAACCTTTCTAACACATCCACACTTCTCTGCTCAGCTCAGAGAAGGGCAGCTGGCATTTCACGACATTCTCAAAACCTACTGGTTCCTCAACCAGGAAGTAGGATATTGCCAAGGTCTCAGCTTTGAGGTGGGCATTGTGCTGCTTTATACGAGTGAGAAAGAGGCATTTAAAATGCCCAGGATTCTGATTGTGATGTTTGACGTGGGACTCAGAAACAGTATCAGCTGGACAGGATTATTTGACAGGTCCAGATGTACCAGCTCTGGAGGCTCCTTCATGACTACCACGGAGACCTCTACAACCACCTGAGGGAGATCAGGATCAGCCTCTACACTGGGATGTGTAGCCAGAGCCTTTGATCTGATCTTCTTTCGGGATCAGAGGTTGTATTTAAAGTGGCGTTAAGGGCATTGGGAAGCCGTAACCCTGGATTCTGCAGCATGAAAACCTAAGAGCCATAGTGGATTTTATAAAAAAACACATTTTACCTGGTGAAACCTGAGTTTGGTGCAAATGGAGGAGACCACCAACTGGGTGGCTGAAATCAACATGGCGAAACAGTTACTAGCTTATGAAATTGAGCGCCTCATGCTTCAAGAACTTACGGGTTCCTCTTCTCTTTGTGACAACCAAAGAATAAATAAATTAGAGAAAAGCAACAACAGCTTATGCAAACAGAACCTTGACCTACTTGAACAATTGCAGGTGGCACATAGTAGGCTCCAAAGTCTTGAAGCCATAGCAGAGAAGCTCCTGACCAATGAGAGCAAGCTGAAGCAGGCCTCACCGTCCTTGGAGCTAGAGGGTCACCCTGCTGTGGATGGTGGAAGCTTGAAGGCAGCCTACCAGGGAAGTCACCCACTGAAGCTGAGCACTCTCAGCAGTCTGACTGTGCCCAGCCTGAGCCCAGAGGTGACAGCTCTGCACCGAAATTGTACACTTTCCTAACACTGCCCAGGCCTTAATTGTGACAGACAGAAGGTGCTGGGACAAGAGAATGGAGTGTGAAGGAAACTTTTCTGAGCTCACACTTGCAATTCTGAGGGCAAATGTCCAGTGTTTTTGTTATTTTTGTTTTAGGTTCTAATTCAGATGACATGGAAACCAGATTGTGATCTCCTCCCTTTGCAATCCAATTCTGCCCCAATGCAAGTCTTCCTGAAGTACAAGGTAGCTGAAAAGAAATTCAGAGAAGAGGAAAGAAGGAAGCTAATGTTAGACATAATTAATGTCAATCTAAAATCAACATCAAGCCAGGGCAGATGGTGCATGGGAGGCTGAGGCAAGAGAATCCCATGAGTCAAGGCAGCCTGGGCTACATAAGCGAGTTCAAGGCCAGCCTGAACTACATAGTACGACCCTGTCTCAATTCGCCTGCAAAATAAATACAATCATCAGTTGCTTGAGTGTAGGTGTGGCTCAGTGGTAGAGTTCTTGCCTAAGGTGAGGCTCTGGGTGCTACCCTCAATATCAGAAAAATAAACAGATCACCAAAAACACTACATGAACCCTGAGTTTCAACACATTAACCAATAAAATGAGTGTTAGATTAGATTAGAGGACAGATTGCTGCTTAATAGATATTAGAAATTATGGGATAGATATAGTAATCAGGGAAAATCCACAGTACTAAATGCTTTCACCAGGTAAAATGACATGGAAACAAATTGATTAGCTATCTGTGATGGCTAACTAGGCATGAGCTTGATGAGATTAAGGATTTCACAGGTAGCTCCTAGTGCACCGCAGGCATAAATCAGAGATACTAGGGTTTCGGTTCCAAAGCACTGCAATCAGATGAAGATCCCAATAAAGCAAGTTGCATGCATTGTTTTCCCAGTACAGATAACAGTTATATTTACACTATGTTCTGGTTTTTTAAGTGTACAAGAGCATTGTCTCTAAAAACCAATGTACTCACTTACTGTATTTATTTAGCTAAAATATGCTGACAATCACCTGAGCTGTTGGAAAAGGGAACCAATGGTCCTGCTTGATGCAAGGTTCCCACCGACCTCCAATTTGTACTCATCATCTGTGAGCACAATAAAACACAATGCAGAAAAACAAGGTATGTCTGTAGGGTGAGTTTGTGCAGGTGTTTCCCAGAGAAGCACTTGAACCAGTGACTGAGAAAGGACAATCTACCTTCACCGCTTAGATGGACATCATTTGATTCCCGGAGGGCCTGGATAGAACAAAAAGGAATGGGAGAAGCACATTGTATTTCTTCTGTGGCTGGGCCATTCATTTTCTACCCTGAGACTTCAGAACTCTGGATTCTCCAGCATTTGGACTCTGGGACTTGCAGTAGGGGCTGCTAGGTCTTTGGACCTTCCACCTTCAACTAAATTACACCATTGGCTCCCCTGGTTCTCAAGCTTTTGGGTTTAGACTAAGCCACATACCGGATTCCTTGTTGTGCAGTGTGTAGATGGCCTCTCCTGGCTGTGCTCAGTCTCCACAAGCCGTGAGCCAATTTCCACAGTAAATCCCTCCTCATCTTTTTCACTGGCTGTTTATCTGAAGAATCCTCACTAAAAAATCTGAAAAGAAAAACATCCACAGGATATTCATCGAAGTAAAGATATTAACAGATACAATATTATGACTCAATCTATGGCCTCTTAGAGGTGGGGTCTCACTATGTAGTTCTGGCCAGCCTTGAACTCACTGTGTAGCCCCTGCTGGCCTCAAACTCATGAGGATCCTCAGGCATCAGGCACCTGAGCTCTCGGATTACAGGTGTGCAGCACCATGCCCAGCTCCAATGGATAGATCTTATTTGAATGTTATCCATTGTCCCTCCCATGTCCTCGTGCCAGAAGAAAAATGATTCTTGTCTAAGATTCAACCTAGGATCATATACTACATGTACTTTTCATTCCTTTTCCATTTCATTTACTCTGGAACCATTCCTAAATCTGTATCTCTCATGATGTTGCTATTACTAAAGAGGATTGGCCTATTATTTTGCAGCATCTCTCTCCCCTCTGTCACCTCTGCCTCCCTCCTTCCCTCCATTTGTCCCCCCGCCCTTTTATTGCATGTTAGTAATATAGAATAGTGACATTCATTTGGGGAGATTGGTGGGTGTATACGACCCATCTCAATCATTTTTATTGAATTATGCCTTCTCTCTTTTCTCCCTCATCATTTGTAGAATGTTTCATGTTTCCTCAGCATTTGGTTGAGATTATGTGTTTTTAGCAAAAATACCATAGAAAGATCCTTATATCCTTTTTGGTGTATTACATCACAAGGTATATCATATTGATTTATTTATTACTGACTGACTTTGCTTATTTGGGAAAGTGACTATATACTAGTTTACCCACAGCAAAGTTCCTAAGTTGCCTTTTGTAACTAGTAACTATCTTGTGGAGATGCTTTTACTCCATAAAATATATATTTGGGTATTTTAAATTAAAAAGTAAATATTCAACAGAGTACAAAGGATGATATTATCCAATTATGTTCTTTGCCCCAGCGGTGCAAATGCATGAGAAACAAGTAATAAAATGGCAACTAGACAAACTTCTATACCTTTAGGAACTAAAAGTTATATTCAAATCATAGAGGAAAATGATATTCTATAAATAATCATATCCAATGGACCAGTAATAAAACATTTTCTACAATGATCTAAGAAAGTTTAAAGACAACAATTCCAGTTTTACATAAACCCTCCCTAAAATATAAAAACAGCAATCACTCCATAATTAATTTTAAGAGGCCAGCATAGTTTTGGTAATAGGAAACTTGCAAGTAATTGTCACTTAAATATCTGGATGGGAAAAAATTCTGCACACAATTAGGAGACCATGTGGAACAATATGAAAAGTGGTACTGCATTATGTCTAGGCCAATTCAGCTCAGAATTCAGGGCTGATCTGCGCATGGTGGTTCCTGCCTAAATTCTCAGCTGTGACTACAGGCATGAAGTGAGGGGATCACACAGAGTTCCGGGGTCACATGGTGAGTTCAAGACCAGCCTGTATAACATGCATTCTGTTTCAAAAAAAGATCAACCTTCATCTTACCATGAAAAGAATCAGTCATTATCATCACAGATTAAAAGATCAAAAGAGAAAAATCATTATGTTCACCTGAATAGGTGATGAAAAAGATTTTTAAATTTATTTTTTAAAAATAAAGTTCAACATTAATGAATGACTCTTAGAGAACTAGAAACATAAAGAAACTTTTGGAAATTTACAACAAAAATTTACAACAAAAACATATAGAGGCAACCACATTTCATAGTGAAAAAACATTGACCTGTGCCCATAAGAAAGATAATAAAGGTGCCTGCACTTAGGACTTCTACTCAGAGCTATGTTGGAGTTCCTAAGAAAAAGAAATAAAAGGTTATAAGATTTTGGAAAGATAGTGATTTTATTGACCATGTAGAAAAGATGCAGAGAAATCAGTAGAATTACCTATAAATATATACAGATAAAAAAAAAAGTTGTGTTATTATCAGCCAGGTAGGAAAATTTTTTGTTGTTTTTGCACGGTGAGATGGAACCCAGGGACTCATACAGGCTAGAAAAACACTCTATCACTGAGAAGTTATATATTTTACAGACACCAGATCCCAAACTTCACTCCCTAATGCCCTGGGAAGTGGTTCCTGGAGACCAGGCAAGACTTAGAGCCCCGCGTGAGTTCCACCAAACACTGCAGATGCACGGAAGGGTGGATCCACACTGGGTCCTTACAGACTGTGAGGGGGAGCAATGGCTTTGAGCCCAGGCTGGGGAGCAGGTTTACCCTGGTAAGTATCAGGCTGCTTGCAAGAGAGGAAAAGGAAACTGCTTGCTGATTTTCCACGTGTGGACCGCTAGGATGTCAACTTCCCCTCTCCCACTCATTGACAGCCTTTCTCTGCTAAAAAGGAGCCAAGGGTAGGGGTCTGGGTTATCACTGGGGCATCTGTGTAGGCTCCAGGGGAAACAAAAGTGAGAAAGTAAAACTTAACGAAGCCCCCACCACCTGCCTCTAGAGATTACCACAGTGCATCATTACAGATCATTAGGTGCATATGTGTACATATTTCACTAATCTATTACCAACATATACATCACACATATGTACTTGACACATGTATGTATATTTACAATTGTATTAAAATATGGCCATCATGTACATACTGTTTCATAACCTGCTACAAAGCCCTGAAAGAAGAAAGTTTGTCAACCTGAAACTCTGTAACCACACACAAACACATATCCTGCCAAATAGGGACAAATTAGTGACTTTTTCAGACAAAAACAAGAGGAAACAAACACCTGGTAAAATCTGTCACCAGCAGAGAATCTTTGCTCCTTAGTTTCTTATTGCTGCTACCACAAATCGTTAAAGCTTTCAATGATAGAGGGGAAAGAAAGTCCCCATTTGCTAGATTTCTCGGACGAGTTTGTGTTCTCTAACACCTAAGAATGAATTATAAGAACAATGGAGGTTAAGAGCAGAATATATTTATCGAGGAAAAGAAAGACTGTGGCTGAGGGAGAGACAGAAGAAGACCCGACTGGGTTGCCAAGGAGCCTGCCTTTTCTAGGGATTTTTATAGAGCAAATCCGCACTGTGAAGTGGGTCCAAAGCAGGAAACAGGCACGAGGTGGGACAAAACTATGGTCGACCAATAAGATTACACGTATAATTCCTCAGGTAAAATTGATTAAATAGGGATCAAACCTGGAAGCCTGTCATATAGCAAGGGGACATGAATACAGAACAGGGGCTTTTCTAGTAAGAGGTTGAGTTAGTGACTTTTTCTGGCTTTCTCAAGGTGACAGAAACCTATTTAGAATATCAATACCTGCTGTTTATTGTTAGGGAGGTATGTGGGTGCATTTATTTTACCTTTTGTCTTGAGGTCTGGCCCACAGCTGAAGGTGTCTGTCTCTCCCTTAGTTGCCAAGTATCTCCTCTTCCGCACTGGCTCCTTTGAGGTC